TTATGCTATACGAAGTTATTACGTTGCGTGCGTGCGTGCGTGCGTGCGTGCGTGCGTGCGTGCGTGCGTGCGTGCGTGCATTTTACGAAGAGTTGGTATACCTATGTTATTATACTTTATTGTTAATTCAAAATGGTGAAATTATTGATTACAAATAGCTTTTCAAACAACTTTTATCCATGTTTATATATATTGTTACGCCCGGGGCTGAACTGTAAGGACGGCGAAGGTGGATTTGTGTGAGCCGCCAAAAGCGGAAGAGACATATATAACGTCGGATAGAGGGACAGTCTAGGGAGGAAAACGAGTTTATCGAGCAGGATCACACCGATATGATAAGACGGGAGAACGAGTAACAGAATGCTTTATTCGTCGACACTCGCGTTATTACACTGCAGAGGCCAAGCCTCGGGATTGCACGCAATACATCCGGCTAGGCCGGTTACAACACAGACAAACTCGCGCTCGCGCACACGCTCGCGTTTAGCTCATGTTTCTGCACTCGCGTTCGCGCACGCAAACCGAATTGCCGCGGAGAAATAAAGGAAACACCAATTTAAGAAGATGGATCAATCTTTTTAAAATAACTAAGAACACAACGTGTCGTTTTACAGAACGAGTTGGAGCACGTCCGAACGGTTCGACGGCTCGTCTCCTAATCTAAGGGCGTCCGTTTAACAAACGATCTTGTTGTCCAGGAAACAAGCTTCTCATATTCTTTTCGCCAGCAGCTCGACCAGTTCGCTCTAATTGAAACAGCGCGGGCATAACAATATGTATATATGTTTAAGATGTGTCAATGTTACAGAAAGCCTAAAATTCGATTGTGTTCAGCGCGAAAAAATCTTCGAGAAACGTATTTCGAAGAAAAAGTGTTTTTTTATAGCATAGTGTAATTAATATAAATCCGAGAATTAAAATCATTTGTGTAAAAATCATATTATTTAAAAAAATATTTTTAAAACTAATTAAAAATTATTTTATTTTGATAAAAATAATTATTTCTTGTTTAAAGAAAAGTAATATTAAGAAAAATAATATAAAAGAAATTATGTTCAAAAAAAGAATAACAGATAAAAAACAATAATAATCTTTAACAAAAACTCTTTTTTTAAAAAGAAAAATATTACACCAAGTATTTAAAAAGTATCGTACGTTACATCTCTTCTAAATCAAAAATATTATTTTAACAAATAAAAGTTGTCCAAAAACAAATATGAAATCAAACAAGTTGCTAAGTTTTTAATTAGACAAAGAGACAAAAATATTTATCCCAAACCAAAAATTTTTTTTTAATAAACCGTTTAAATCATTCAAAAGTACTTGCAGCAAAAGTTTAATGCCATTGTCTTTCCAAATAATTTGAAAATTAAACAAACTTGCAAAGTAAGATTCGATCTTGATTATGCCTTTGGTCTCGTCCGGATGGATAACTGTACAGGATGTCCTACCTCTACCGGATTTCCTTTTAAGAATGTGTTCCTGAGATAATTTTGAGACGAAAATCCTAATACAAAAATGTCGAGGCTATAATACTTTTCAAATTATAAACGATTTAAGTTAACCAATATTAAGGACTGAAATTCACGCGCTCAGGGACGGCACATTCGATGGCTCTTTTTTTACATATCAATACATGAAACTAACTTTGTGACTAATTAACCTAATGACTATAACTGACTTAATAAATAATACTTAAACTTTATAGAAAAGTATACTATAGCCCTAAATAATTTAAAAATTCACGATATTTTGCCTACGCCGTTATCGGGGCGTGAATAAATAAAGAATTTTAATTTAAATTATAAAATAAAATTACAACAGTTCTAACGCTGCAATAGGAAACATAAGATAAATAAGACAATTTTTTATAATTTATCGTACGTAATTATGTACTAATAGATTATTATTAATTTTATTTTGATTTAAATTGAAATTCTTTATTTTTTCACGCCCCGATAACGGCGTAGGCTCGTATAGGCAAAATATCATAAATTTTTAAATTTTGTACTTTAACTTAATATTTAAACTAACTTATTATTTAAAATTGACATAATTATACTTATACATAATTACTTATTATTTATATTTATTAACATAATGTTGTTTCTATAAAGTTTAAGTATTATTTATTAAATTAGTTATAGTCATTAGTTAGTCACAAAGTTAGTTTTGTATATTAATATAAAAAAGGAGCCATCGGGTGTGCCGTGCATGAGCGCGCGAATTTCAGCCGCTAATATTGGTTAACTTAAGTCCTTTATACGAGTAATTTGAAAAGTATTATAGCCTCGACATTTTTGTATTAGGATTTTCGTCTTAAAATTATCTTAAGAACACGTTCTTAAAAGGAAATCCGGTAGAGGTGGGACACCCTGTATAGTTATGCTTTCTTGCTCGTATTGACAACAGAGTTTATAGGTCCCGCTTAAAAAGTTTAAAGGAGGCGCGCGTATTCTATAGCACCAGTCATGTGACTATTCATTGAGTTCAGAGCCTGAAGACAAATCGTCTATTCAAAACCTATGCAGTGGCGAAAAGAGCCTAAGGAGCTTTGGGTGTGGAAGATCCATCCGGACAAGACCAAAGGCATAATCGAACTTCACTTTGCAAGTTCGTTTAATCTTCAAATTATGCCATAGTCCCGTCTGGATGGATAATTATGTATCTGTTCAGAGTACGATTTTTCGCTAAATGTCCAAAATAAACTTTAATCATAAGATGAGAAAAGAAATCAAGATTACAATAAAGTTCCAGTATTCTAAATTTAAAACTAAAAATCTGACTTCTTTAAGAGTAATAAACATAAATCTGGTTCGAACGTAATCGAAAAGGTGAGTGACACATAATCTCAACACTCTGAGAGGCTGTTTGTTTTTAAGATAACAGGACGGAGTTACTAAATTTCTCAAAGTTGATAATCGGGCGGTTATAATATGTTGCGAACATTCGTGATTCACCCGACCAACCTGAGATTCACTTAATAAGATCAATACGTGACGCCCTTTTTGGCGGCAAGGGATGTGTGCCGAGTACTGTGAACCGAGAATATATCAAGAGACACGGTAGTGTCTCACGCCAAGTATGCGCGCGCGTGCATACGGGTCGTGAGACCGAGCCGTGTCTCTTTACTCCAACCATCGAGTTGAGCGGAGGCACGATGGTCATATCTAAAAAACGGCCAAGTCGACGAAATTTTTAATAGGCTTAGTCGATTGCTTGGAGTCATATTATATAATAAAAGTGTTTTTATTTTTTTCTAAGTTGAATATTAAGAGAGATATTTCAAGTTTTATGTCAAAATGGGGGAAAATATATGTAAGAAACGTCGTCCCGGTGTCCGGGCTCGTGGTGTCCGGGTGTAAATCGACTTTCACTACTCGTATACGCCTACACAAACCCCCAAGCACCCTATACACCCTTACTCATCTCCACCTACGCTATTCGTGCATACACTTTCCACCCTCCCTCCCACCCACTACAAAGTC